TTCTAGAACTTAAACCAAAACATGCATACAAGTTGTATAAGTTTCTAAAATCATCAATACAACATTAATATAAACCTAAGACACCCCCTACCTCAATTTGAGATGAAAATCTCAAAAGTCACCAAAATGAAACCGCTCCGAACCCGACGATACTTTGGGGTTTTGTCGGGGACAACACGGTGAACAAGAACCCCAAGGAAGCCTCATCAAAATCACAACTTGACTTCAAAACCAAACTCAAAAAGTAGCCAAAACGAGATTTCAATCGGTGGACTCGAAGGCCACGCCAAGGCAAACATAAAACACTAAGACACTACGGCGTTTCACTGAATGGAAGAGGCTCAAAAGAGGAAAGAGAAGGTGGAAGCCCATGGCTGCCATGGAATCTGGCCAAGAGAGGGGAGTGAGTGAGAGAAATCCAAATTTTCAATTTAAGACTCCCTATTTGTAGAAAAACTTAAAAAGTGCCCCGAACGGGTCCTACAGGGTCCGAAAAAGTGAAATTTGACCAGACGCACTCAAATGGCAAAACTCCATGAATAAAAAGGAACCAAAATGAGAAAGGATGAAGAATAGAAGAAACGGCGTCGAAAACTGAGTCCCGAGCAGAGAGATATGCCCCGAACAAGTTTGGCGGCAACTAGGCCAGAAACCCTGAAACTGGAGAAAAACGACCAGAAGAAAATTCTAAGAGTACACGACTCAATGAAAAGTGAAAATGAATCCCGTATGAGGATCCAGGCTAAAAATGAGGCATTTTTCCTATAACTTTCATTAATTGCACAATGGCCCCTACAAAAAGTGATAACTACACTAATGATCCAGAATAAAAATATCTTCCAAAAAAATATTTTCTTAGAAACCCCTAAAATAAAATATCTTCAATAGATATTTAAGAAAAACACCCCCAAAAAAGAAAATGTTTCTGAAGACCTATGTATCCATGCCCCTTTGGATACCAAGAGCAACCAGAGTACTTTTCTACAAAAGTAATAATACGTATTTCGTGGAAACCACTTAGAATGAAGATACGTGAAGTCAAAAACCAACTCCGAACACAAAAAGTGAGGTTGTGCCAAAAAGTGAGAAACGGGGAAAAGACAAAATAGGAAAAAGGACGAGAAAAGAATAGTATCGAAAAAATGAAAATGCAGAAATGACGCGATCCTTTAAGGAAGTTGTCAATCCGAAGGAAAGAGTTTCAGAAACCATTCCCAAGCACTCGAGATGACACTAAGTGACAAGAAACTGAACTCAGAAAGGAAAAAATCAACCAAAAAAAAAAAAAATAAATATTCGTGAAAATCTGAGAAAAAGGAAAGGAAGGAAAATGACCGGGTCATTACATCTATAGATCAGTTAGCTATGGAAGCTTATTTGGAAGGGATTTCCTTTATAGGTATTTCTTTACTTGATTTACATGTAATTTTTTAAGTTTCACATATTTAATTCTATCTCTTGGTATGGTTTAAGGTATGCCCTAGATTATCTTTTTTGTTTATGATATTTATCTTGATCACTTCTCCTTTGTATTTGATCCGTCTATTTATATCGATAAAATTTTCAACATACAGGAAAAAAAAAAAAAATCAAGTAGTTACCAACACCAACATGTAAATATATAAATATATACTTTTTTCATAGTTGGTGTTGTATAAGAATGAAGAAATAATTACAAGTGCACAGGAGGCATACTCTTGTAATCAAAGGAAGAAAATGATAAGGCCCATTTCCAGTACGCACCGAAGAAAACGTAAATAATTCTAGCTTGAAAGATCATTAAAAGAAGCGTTATGAACATTCATCACTTCAAACAACATATTTATTCCCATATCTTCTGGGGTCGTATGAGAAAGACCATGCAGCTTAACATTCATCTCTTACCAAATTCCCGAAATGATAGCAACAAAAAGGCTTTTGAGAATTTTAGAATTATTATACCTTTACTAGTACCAAGAACACCACTCTATAAATTAATTATCAGTAAAGTGAGGCATCTCCCAAATCAGGACCCCTCCTGACCATCTCCGTATAGCCTAAGCAAATAGAGATTAGAAAAATAGATGATCCCTATTATTCATTTCATGACAACAGTTTGTACATTTAGGAGCTAACTATATCAAGCATCACGAATACAACATTCACAAACCATCTAGGCATGCATTTGCCCCAGCATATCTCATGCCACAAAACACCTTCATAGGATACTTTACAACTCAACCATGTTTGCTTAAAAGTGAACTTACCATCCTCCCACAATAGCTTATCAGCACTAGCATACAGGTGGACAGAACTGAGAAATTCCCTAAATGAGTTGAAGAATCATCATGAATTAGCTGCAAGTTCCAACCACCATTGTTCAATAGGTATTGGATCTTGAAATTCTTGAGGAGATATAACTTCTTAGCCATTTTGTGACCCAATCTATGGGCTAGTGTTTAATGATGAGTGCTGAATATTGCATATTCGAACCCGTAAACGTGCGTATGTTAAAACCTTAAGTGATACTTTTCTCTAGTTTTATATTGATTTTAGTTTATTTGTTTTTGTAGGTACTTTACCAAAGAAAATGATAAAATTGGGATTATGGAAACTTAAACACTGTTCTCGAGGCTTACGAAGTTGTCCCAGACCATCTGAAGCAAGCTTGGAGTCAAAAAGGTGATTCTGGAGAAGTTCAGGTGCAAATGCTCCAACACAAGTTTCCTAGCTCGAGCAGAAAGTGGAATGAAGCAAGAAAAGCAACTAAGGCAGAAAAGCTCGAGCAGAGAATTTCCTGCTTGAGCAGAAGTCTAAGGTGCTCGAGCCTTTACCAAAAGACTCGAGCATAAACTCCCTTCGGAAGATGAAAGACAATTCGGAAGTTCCAGTTGCTAGAGTTCAAGCGCTATCCAAAAAGCTTGAGCAGAATGCAAAAGGCTCGAGCATTCCAGCCAAGGTGATCTAGCACCCTGAAAAAAAGATCCAAAAATATTCTAAGTGTTTATGAAAGAGACGCGTCAGAAATAAATTGAAGAATTTTGACTAAGTATGGAATTCCTGCTCGAGCCTTTCTTAGAAAAGCTCGAGCACAATGTTTTCTACTCGAGCCTTTTCCCTTCAGTCAGACTTTTTAATTGGGGAATTAATTCAAATTAAGTCCTATTAAGTCCCAGACGGGCCCAGATGACCCCAGAAGACCTAAAGCCCTATCCTATCATTGATAGAAGTCAGTTGCTTCTATAAAAGGATGCACAAGGCCACATAAAAGCTCCTATTTATTATTCTTCTCTTTTATAAATAATAGGCATCTTTTTGGGTTTCTGAAGTTTCTCTGAAGCATTGAAGGTGAAGATCCTTAGAAGAGAAGTATAGTCGATGATGATAAAGTCTATAACAACAAAGATGACATCTTCCATCATCATGAGTAGCTAAATCCTCTCTTAAGGCATTGATGTAACTTGAATCAAATTACTATTGTTTGATTGTTCTATACTTTGGGATTTTCATTGTAAATGTATAATTGATTGCATGATTTTGAGCAATTGACTTAGATATTCTAAGCAATTAGGATTTTAATTAAATAAATTAATTTTTGATAAATTAATACCTTGTCTTAGATTTAATTCTTTTTAAACCAAATTCAACATATTCTTATTGTGTGAGATTGGCGGCTAAGGGCTTCTCAGACAATAAGAATAGAGATCATGCAACGGTGCGTAAACCATTTTTGTGAATGAATGTTTTCATAGTCTATGTCTAGGGAAGACGGATTATTTTGCAACATTAGTTGAAAGTAGGTTAGTATATAATTCATGCCAACCGAAGATAAGTTATTATTAACTAAAATTCATGATTCATCTTTCTTTAAATTGAATTAAACGAATGTTATCGAGTTTAATTCTGAGTTATACATAATATTGAAATCCCAAGGTTGAGACAATTAACCATAGTATGAGGTTCGTGGTGAAGTCAAGCCCTAAGATCTTCTCTCTCTCATCTCAATTCTTTTTTTTTTTTTTTTTTTTAAGTTTAAAATGTGTTCATGTTATTGAAGCACAACACACAACAAATAAATCTTTCTCTTAAATTAAAATAGTAATTAATTGAAAACTCGATAAACCACCATAGTTCTTGAGGTTCGACACCCTCTAAGTAGCCCTATCCTATAAAAGATTTGTACTATTGCGAGTGGTAAATAAATTTCACACATCAATTTTTAGTGTCGTTGCCGGGGACTGTGTAACGGATTTATTGAGTTCGAGATTAGTTCTAGTTTAATTTATTGTTTTAGGACTTTCTGATATCTCATCTTTTTTCTTTTTCTTTTCAAGTGCAGGAATCTAGGAGCAAGGACGACGACGCTTAAGGAACAGAAGCTGCGGTTTCAAGATCTTTTGTGAGTTTTTGTCATTATTTTTCTTTACTTGAAAATTTTCTTTTTGTTACTGTTTTCATCATTGAACATAGTGCTTGTTAGGTCGTCGGTCCTTGTCAGAACCATCACTTGAATACGACCTTGAAATAGAGAAAACTCTTAGGCGAATTAGAAAACCTAAAAAGAATTCTAAATTGTTAGGAGAATCCTCTAAATCATACATGGTAGCTAATGATGGTGAGAATGCTTTGAGAGCTCGTGTACCACTTGCACCTACTCCCACACCACTGATGGACCATTACATTCCCACTTTATACACTTCCCCTTGCGCTTCCAATTGCCAGGCACTAATGTAACCCACTTTGAGATCAAGCCTGCTATGATCCAAATGCTCCCTTCATTCCATGGGTTTGCAACTAAAGATCCCTATAAGCACTTAGATGAGTTTCTAGAATTATGTTCAACTACCAAGTTGTCCACTCTTTCTGATGATGCTTTTGAGGATTAGACTTTTCCAGTTCTCTATTAAGGATAAAGTAATAACTTGGTTGTACTCTCTAGCTAACAAATAATTCCATAGGCACATGGGATAAGTTGCAACAAGAGTTCTTGAAAAAGTACTACACTGTAGGTAAAATCACACAAATGAGAAAAGAGATCATGTAGTTTACCCAAATCCTGGGTGAACAACTTCATGATTCTTGGGAGAGATACAATGATCTTCTGAAAAAGTGTCCACACCATGATATTGCTAAATGGCAATTAATGCAGATCTTCTATGATGGATTATGTGATCCACATATGAACATGGTAAATGCTTCTAATAATGGAGCTTTCTTTCATAATAGTGCAGATAACGCTTGAGAACTGTTTGAGGCTTTAAGTGAAAACTCTGTACAACATGCTTTTTCCTCTAGGTCTAGGTCTACTCCTAATGTCCATAAGGTTGAAAATCTATATGAAGTCGAGAAATCTAGAGAGCTTGCCACTTAAATAAAAGTGTTGAACCGAAGGTTTGACCAAGTCTTATCATCTAGCTATGTTCCTGTCTCTTCTCAGCACTACTCTTTGCCAAAGGAAGTGTGTTTGATTTATGCTAATCCATCTCATCTTGCTGATAGTTGTCCTCTGATGGGAAAATCTCCTGAAATTCCTCAAGAACAAGCAAATGCTGCATTCTCCAGACAAGGGTATAATCCATATTCTAATACCTATAATCCTGGCTGGAGAGGTCATCCAAATCTATCATGGTAGAATTAGATCCAAGGCAATATTATTCCCCAATCTCAAGGACAGTACCAAAGTTCATTCAATCCTCTGCCCCAAATAATTCTTTTAATCAATCTTCCATTTATCGTCCACCTCAGTTTAGGAATCAATCCACTAAAGCTCCTCTTCCTCTTCTTCCTCCTCCTACAAATTCTGCGTTCGAAGATCAAGTCTCAACTGCACTCGAGGAACTTAAATCGCATACCTAACTTCTTTATTCTCATTCTCAAGCCATAGCTAAGCTAAAGGTTCAAGTTGGGCAAATAGTGAGTGTTTTATCTCGTAGGGAGGAAGGAAAGCTTCCTAGTTGTGCTGAATGATTACACTGACTTGCTCGGTGAGATAAATTTTCTTAGAGACTTGGCTTTTTTATTTTCTCTTTTCGGTGCACAAGTCTTGAATGTTGAGGAAAATGTGTTTTTGGCTCATAACCTGTCTCAGATGAAGAAGTGACTTTACCTTCAACTCTTTTGGAGCTCGATGGATTAGGATGTGAGGGAACATCGGTGGGATGTGGGATTGGAAGAATGGGAATCCTACGTCTCTCTCTTTTTTCCCACTGTTCCTCAACTTGATTATCAACCACTTTTCCACTCTTCAAAGTGGTGATGGCCTAAACTTACTCATAATGACTACTTGAAGGATTAGTGTCATCAACTATGTAAGTTTACCCTTTCGGGTTGGCCACTAGCTAAGTTCAAAGATCCTGGTGCTCCTACCATATCTTACACCATTGGAAACAATATGATAGATCAAGCACTTCTTGATCTAGTAGCGAACGTTAATCTCATTCCTTACTTGGTGTATGAGAAACTAGGCTTGGGAGAGCTTAAACCCACGTCGGTTGTGTTATAACTTGTTGATCGGTCTATGAAGCTACCACGTGGGGTAATTGAAGATGTTCTCATTAAAGTAGACAAGTTCTATTTTCCCGTTGACTTTTTTGTCTTGGGTACAGAGCCTATCCATGATCCCAATAGATGTATTCCCGTAATTCTTGGTCGTCTATTCTTAGCTACAGCGAATGCCAACATTAACTGTAGGATTGGGGCTATGGATATTTCTTTTGGGAACATGAATGTCAAATTAATCATCTTCAATACCACTCCATATTCCTCGAAAAAAGATGAGTATTTTCTTATTGAATAATTATTCAGTCCAATCTTTCTGATAACAGAGGCTCCTCCTTTGATTGTGAGATCTCATTGTTTCCCTACTCATGAGCTTACTCATAAACTTGAGCCTAAGCCACCACCGGAGAAGCTTGAGTACTCTTTATTAGGTCCCAATGGAACCACATGGTTTTCATTTTTTCGAATTCCACAAGAGGCCGTAGGACTGGTTTTGGGATGAGGGAGGTAGATGAGTTGTTGGTACAGGCTAGGGAGTGGTGCACAGTCGAGCTGGCGACGTTAAACTTAGCATTTATAGGTTTGTATATTAGTTTGTTTTTCTTTTTCTTCTTTTTATTTTTCTAGGTTTTTAGTTTATTTGTGTATTTTTGTTTTATTTTTAGATTAGGTTATTTTAGGTTTAAAAAAAAAAAAAATTGTTGTTTGCTTGTGCATGATAATATATATCTGTTTTACTCCATATACTTGATACTCTGATGTGTGCTGTGGAGTTTGATTATTTTGCCAGGTACTGTGGACCAAGTTTGGGGGTGAATTTTCTATTTTGCCATTCTGAGCTACACTTCCTTATCTTTGTTGGTTCTACTCAGTCTTGGTATATCTTTCTAACATCAGCCTTGTTTTCTCACATTTAGGATAATGTGCATAATAAGATTGGGGGTAAGGTAATTCTTTTTTTGAAAAATTATTGTTATTGTGTTTTGCACAAGGGGATGAATATAAACTGCTAAGCATGAGTTTTGATCTATTTTTGTGTTATAATGTTCATATGCAGTCTAGAATGGGTTAAAAATGGCTTATATGTTGAATTCATGTTAATTGGGGATTTTTGAAATTTTTTTTATATCAGTTGGTGACCTGTGGTCTATTTTGTCAGGATAATTGCAGTTTGATGATTTTGATTCCCAGAATACTTTACTTTGCACATGTACACATTTGCATGCATTCTGTGGGGTATAAATTTGAAATCCTGTTCTGTTTTTGTGTTATACTGAGATAAGCAGGTGAATTTGATAATTTTGAAAATCAATGTATAAAATATGGTATGTATGCAATAAAATAAAATAAAAGAGCTTTTTCACTGAGTAACTGGGACTCTTACCTCATTAAGCATTGAGGATTCACGCAGAAAAGTGGAAAAGACAATAAAAAGAAGTTGAAGGGTCAGTTTGGGTATGTAGCCTATATTGCTTTAGTAATTAAGTCATAGGGGTATTTTGACACTTAATGCCTTAAAACCATCTGGTTTGGGAGTCATTTGTAAACTATAATTTATTCGTGTAAATTATTCATCATAAATAAACATGAATCCCAAATCTTAGAACTTCATTATTCTTACATACCTATAATGTATAAATAAATATAGTTAGATATAAATACCTCAATCTGTAATTGTAAAATTTGTAGAGATCAAAGAAAACGTCGAGATTTTTTATGCGGAACAAACAACATGCTAAATTGCAATAACTAAAGCGTAGAAACCGATTTCTCTCCCTTGGCCTTTTGCACACATAAATATTATACGCGTTGTTTCCATTAGCGTACATAACTGATGGGAATATGCACTCTTATAAAGGCATAGAGAGGATCCGTTTTCTTTTTAGTAACTTTAATTCTACTTTCCATCAAAGTAAGGAATAAATGGGAAAACACTTCTCCAAAAATTAATTACCAAAAAGATAATTTATAAGTTGACCAAATAATATAATATTAATCTGATATCTATTTTATTTAACCACCAAATAATAGAAGTAAATCACGTGTCTAAATCATGTAGGCCACAAATATAAAAAAATATCTTACAGTCTCCCACTTAGCCCATATGATAACTTCCGTAGTGGTTTAGTAAAATAATCATTAGTGTGCAGCATAAATTAGATTGACTCATTAAGTTGGTCATTATAAATACTATGGTAAATAAACTACCAATGCGAGTCATGGCGGTTATATGTCCCTAAATGACACAGTCCCTTCCACGTACCACAACACTAGTAACCTATTCAACATAGTCTATAAATGAGAAGTATCAATAATAATCTAACAATAATGTCTTTTCCAAGACTATTCCTATTACCATTTATTAAAATAATACGTACATGTATATTAATTAATAGGAAATATCAGAAACACATATAATCAGCGCAAAATGTCAAATATATATAAGCACTGTTAAGCAATCCACAATTAAAAAATAATCATCATTGACTACATTCAAGACACATTCTTTTAACATGTTCCATAAATGTCTTGGGTGGTAGTCCATTCGTTAATGGATTGCAATTATAAGTTATATGCTTATATATTCAATAGACACTCGTTGTTTTTAAACATCTTCTTTAATGATAAAGTATTTCAACTTTAGAATACTTATCATTTTTTTTATACAAGAAGATCAACAATTGCAGCATAAATTTTCAGCAATCTGAAAATGGTACCTGTAACTCCAAGTCCTGAAATAAATTTTGTAACCATAAATTGTAGCCTCAAAGCATGCTACAAATTAAAAAAATTTATAATAATCAAAGTAATAATAAATTACTTTGTACTTTTTCATAATATTATTCCTTTAACTAAAAAGAACAAATAACTAATTGTGAATTAATTATTATCCACATATTCATAGAAACATCTTCCTAAATATGAACATATAATCTTTTATCCCCTACCAACTTGTATATACATCAAACTCCACAATATATGCATAAGGAATATTTTTTGTTACTTTACCTTCTAGCTAACTCATTCTTTGGGATTGCATTAGGCTGAATTTATCCCCTTTTATGTATGAAACAATACTGGTTGAATAATATTGTATACCAAATCTTTCTAGAACTCTTTTAATATATGCTTTCTGAGACAATCCTAAAAATTCACGTGATCTATCATGTAATATTCTATTTATATCATGTAGGTTGCCCCATCCATATCTTTCATTTCAAAGTTATAACTTTTAGTTTCATATAATAAACTAAGATCACTACTAGCAAACAAAATATTATCAATATATATAGAATCAGAAATATAAACTTACTCCCACTAACCTTCTGGTATATACACCGATCAACAGTGTTTTCCTTAAAACGAAAAGAAATAATGGTATCATTAAACTTAATATACCATTGTTAGGAAGCTTGTTTAAGTTCATATATTGACATTTTAAGTTTATAGACCATGTATTATTTACCCTCTAATGTGAAACTTTCAGGTTGTTCCATATGGACTTCCTTTTATAAACTCTTATTCATAAAAGTTGTCTTAACATCCATTTGATGTAACTCTAAATCATAATAAGCTACTAATGCCATGATATTTTAAAAGATTCCTTCTTAGATACTGGAGATAAGGTT